ACTGCTAGCGAGCGGCACCCTTTCTGCAGAAAGTAAACTAGCCTTGCTGAGAGATCCTTTGTCTCAGTGTTGATTTTTGCAACACCAAGCACCCGTTCCCAACAGGACATGTGTCTGCCTGTGTGTACACACCCACCCATCAACCACAACCCTACACCTGAAGCCAGGAACTAGAAAGAAACTCTCAGGGTCACGTCATTGTTTCCGTCTTCAAGTCTCACTTTTTGAACCCGTTACCATTTGGGTCTATGTCTCCATCCCCCCAGATCATCCTCTGATTCTACCAGCGCCAAACCTGGAACCCTCTGCTCCTTTCACTCTTTCTGCACACATTTTCCAGGCACTTCTGCCGCTCAGCATCTCCCAAGGGTGAGCCCTGAGCTTGTGCAGGGATGAATGCTTTCCATGGCTTTTCCTTCTGCCTGCAGTTATGCCCCCCAATCTCTGGGGATGGGACCTGCCAGGTCTGTCTGGGGAATACACGTGTGGGACTGGAACTGGTTCCTCCCACTCTCAGCCCCAGTGACGTGCTCTGTAAGGCTGGTTGTAGATGCGAGCTGCTGCACCTGCCTAAGTGCTTTAGGTTCCCCTCCTGAGACTCTCCTGCCTCTCCAAGCAGCTCTCCAGGGGACCCCCATCCTGACACTCAAAGAAAGCAGAAAATGGGGTTCCGGATGAGAAAAGAACTGTTCTGTGAGGAACACAAGTCCTTTTACATGATTGGGCACAGAGAGACGTGGAGAGGGGACAGGAGTCCCGTCCTACACCCTCTGAGCTGTGTGTTCATCTTCAGGAGCTGTGTGTCATGACCACCAGGAGCCGCTAACCAACAAATCATGCCCACCGGATGCTGCAACCTGCACCACACAGCTCAGCAGTGTTATTTCTGTGAGCCAGCGAGATTCCCAACAAGCAGCTTTGTGTCGGCCTGCTCCATGTTCCCCTCTTTTGCCTTTAAAAACCTGCCTGTAACGAAGGCCAAAGAAAGAAAGCTCACGGCCAGGAAGCTCACGGCCAGGAAGCTCACGGCCAGGCGTACGTGGGTGTGAGTCCTCTGGGCTGCTGTCCTCACCCTGGCTCAAGTCAACTTTTGAAGTTAGACTTCATGCCTCAGCCTCTTCCTTTTAGGTGGATACTGATGGGAATACAGGAAGGGCCCCTGTCCTTCCCTGTCTGAAGCTCAGACTCCGCATGAGAGGACTTCCCACTCCAAGACAGGGGCACGGCTGTCTCAGGATGGAGGAGCTCGTGTCTGCTGAGGATGCGGTTCTGTCCAATGAGGTCAGGAGGGCTGGTGGCAGCATCTGTTAATTCCGTTGGGGCAGCCAGTGGCAGTTATTCCAGCTGAGGATGCTGGGATGGAGTTTTGGTTTTTTGTGTTTTTTTTGTTTTTTTGTTTTTTGTTTTTTGAGACAGGGACTTACTCTGTCACCCAGGCTGGAGTGCAATGGCAGGATCTCAACTCACTGCAGCCTCAACCTCCCAGGTTCAAGCAACTCTCCTGCCTCATCCTCCCAAGTAGCTGGGATTACAGACATGCACCACCATGCCTGGCTGATTTTTGTATTTTTAGTAGAGAGAGGGTTTCACCATGTTGGTCAGGCTGGTCTCGAACTCTGACCTCAGGTGATTCTCTGCTTCGGCCTCCCAAATTGTGGGGATTACAGGCGTGAGCCACCGCACCAGGCCTGGGATGGAATTTTAAGTGAACCGTGGCCCTTAGATCATGAGCCCAGCTTCAGTGTCTAACGAAACAGCACCACAGGGATGGGAGAGAGGGGAAGATTCGCAGATCATGCCGAAACCTCTGGTTAGCCCCTGGCTTCCACATCCTTCCCACAACCAAGTGCCGCACAGCCCCTTTTCCATGTCCTCCCCGCTCCCTGGTGGCAGAGGCCCCGTTGGTAAAGCAACAATGGAGAAGTGGAGAAGATAAAAGAGCTGTGAAAACTGCCCCAGAGAAGCTGCAGGAGGCTTTGCTGGAATCAGGTTTTGCATCCCCGAATCGGAGCTCCATTTGTTGGGTCAGGGACCATGCCTATTGGTTCAAGAACTGACAGAAGAGGTGTCTACAGAATGCTTGCTGGGAGGATAAATAAACAGCTAAAGGAAATTTTATCTGAGCCTGAAAACTGCCTGCACCAGCACAAAATTAAAGCCCCAGCACCCTCAGGCTAGGCCTGCTGGAAAAATTCCTGTGTGTCAGCTCCAGGAAGACATGGGCAAGATGAGGCACATCCTGACCAATGCAGGAATTGGCCCTTCTGCTGGCCCCTCTTCCACTGTGATGCTAAAAATCCCATCGAAGCCGGTCATCCAAGCAGCAGGAAGTAAGAAGGTCAATGTTTGCATAGCCATTTAGAAGTTTCCTGGAAACCTGGCTCTCTCCCCACCGTCGCCCCGCGAGCACAGTAGGGACGAGCTTGAGCTCGGAAATCAGAAAGCCTCAAGTGTGAAACCTCAGTCTTCTTCCTTATTAGCTGTGACACGTTGGGGAAATTACTTAACCTCTCTGAACCTCAATTTCCTCAAACTGTAAAATGGGGCTAATGTTGGGTGACACTCAGCATAATGGCAGGAACAGAGTTAGTGCTCAGTAAATGCTGCTCTCATTGGCCCCACAGCCCATTCCACCATTCCCTTCTTTCTCTTCCTCCCCACAACCCAACTTCATCATTGCCTACGAACAGCCACAGGATAGAACTCGGGACAGTTCGTGACAGCTCTGGACAGCCCAGAGGTTATTTACAAGCCTAAGAGCAACCAATGCGGCCTGCCCAACTGCCCAGCTGTTCGTAAAGCACAGAGAAGCTGGTGGTGCCCATAAGCCACATCGCTTTCTAGGAATGACAGGGGCATGGATTTACAAAGTCGCTCTTGACCCTTTAAAATAACACAACTATTTTTTGCTCCCACCATATCTCAAGTGGTACCCAGATTGTGAGGCCTTCCATCCGGTGAGTAGTGTCACCTGGAGAGGAGGTGACTGATTTAGGGCCCCGGTTTGGGGCTGAATCAGGGTCAGCCACTTCTTCGTGTGTTGGCCGCCAAAGGGATTGGACCAGATGATCGTGAAAGAACCTTCCGATGTTAAGATGTAGAGTTTCGATGGTTCCATGATAGAGAAGGATCACAGAAAACTAAGATCCACAAAGCTTAACCTCCCGGGGGACAATCGCAAGGCTGTAATGTCAAGTTAATGCTAACACAGCATAGTTTGACGTGAGTGTGACAGCACAGGGAGGTCGGGGGCCTGGGGGCTTCTCAAACTCATTCTCACACCAGATGTGGCATCAGGAACGGCCTGAAGGGAGGCTAAGGGATCCTGCCCTCTCCCCAGCTCTGACGATGCCTCCACAGTGAAGAAGAGACAGGGAGCCCCTGACTCTGCACTTTCACTGGCTACTCCCACACTGGGGGGCAGGGGAGGAGGAAGACCCCAACACGTCCTACCACCACTGCAGACTCCTACCAAGCTTCAGTTCTCACCTGCGCCGCTGCCCCAAACCACCCCTGAGAGCCATTAGGTGGCAGCTGTGCTTCACCTGCAAAAGGTCTTCCTTTGCCAATGTTTGTCACAAGGTTTTGCATATCGTTTGCATAAATTTGCAGGTAGGATTCAAAAGGTTCTGATTCCAGTTACACAAGACAAAACACACTGACTGCACTTGCAGTGGAAGAAGGTTTTCAGGAGAGCACACCGGAGTCGCTTCCCAGGGCTGGGAGAGGTGGTCGAACTAGGTGCGGCTGGGGTGCCCAGAGAGGGCCTTCCCCACGATCCAGGGAATCAGAGCTTTTCCAGCGTTGGCTTGAAATCACGGCTAATAGACAGAAAAGCGCTCTTCCCAACCCCAGGGGAAGACTGGGGAGGTGGGCAGGCGCACAAGGCCCACTGATTCCATCCAAGAGGGGGCATGGAAGGCCAGTGGCCAGCCCACGCCTGGAGCTGCTCCCTCCCGGGAAAGGAAAACAGAATCCTGAGATGCCAAGCTCACTATTCCAAAGGGAAAGGGAAAACTTGGAAATGGCGCCACGCAGAAACCTGCCTTTCAGGAGAACCGGTCTGTTTCTGAACAGACAGCTTGCAAGACGGCCGGCCGTGTGTCTCCCCAGGGGCCTCCCGCGCCCTGGCAGTGTCGATGAACAGCTGATCCTCGCGAGTGTGGGACAAAAGCAAGACTAGGACTTGCTTTTATTTTTGTTCAGGAACACAAAGTCAACACCACCAGCCGCTAAAGGAATATAAACCACCTCTTGCTTGTTTAAAGCAGTGAAAGAACAAAATTACATAGGCAAGGAGGGGCTTTTGTGTCTCCAGCCATGACTTCTGGTTAAATGCTCGAGACAAACTCAGGCTTGGCTTTTCCTTCTGCTCTGTGTCCACTCTACCTGATGGAAGATGCAGGTTTGCTGAGGGCCAGGTGAGTGCATAAAGGGCTCTTCCCCCACACCCGTTCACTTGTAATGTGCACTCAGTGCGCGCTAATAAAAGCCTCGCAGGAACCTGACCACTCGCCTCATCGCCTACCCACGCTTTTCTCTCTCCCCTTCCCCTCCTGCCCTCTCCTCTCTTCCTCTTTTAAATACTCAGCACCTCAAAACGCTCTGTGGAAAAGGCCCGGGCACAGGTCCTGCTGTGACTGGTGTTGCTTTCTCCCGGGCAGATCCTCAGCCTCGGCATCATACCCCTCGAAGCTGACTGAGACCCGCCTCACCCACTTTCAGTTTTGCGCTCCAAATACTGAGTGTCTGGTAACTTACCCAGAAGTTCTTAGATTTCCAACAACTCAAGCCAGGCTCTGATTTCCAAAATAATGCCAAATCTAGAACAGTTTGGGGAATGAAGGGATCTGGCTGAGGGATGGGAGTTGGAACAGCTGTGGCACCATCAGCCTCACATAAACAGAAACGAATTACTCAGCCAAACAAGAGAAGAGCAAGGCCCAGCTGGAAAAGCACATGGATGAGTCTGCAAACCAAAAACGTACCGGAGACAGGCCTCAATCAATGGAGAAGTTTATTTGTCAAGGCTAAGGACGCACCCAGGAGACAGGTCTGTGCCTCTCTCCCAAGATGATGTTGAGGCCTTCAGTCAAGGGCAAAAGCTGGCTGGAGGGGACAGAGGGAGGAGGGTATGGTCACATGACTGATTGCCCCACGCTGCAGGAGAAAAGGAGCAGGTGGGAACAGTTACCTGTTTATCTCGTGCTCAGTAAATCGTTACTTTCCATGAGGTAAGGTGCACACAGAGCAGTCACTGGTGGAGATGCTGACCCTCTCGTCTGTCGCTGTCTGCTTAGGGGCAAAGGGAAAGGCAGCTTCTTGCAGGACTCAGCTTGCAGCTTAACTTTTTCTTCTTGGTTGAGTGAATTGTGGTCTCGAGTTTTTATCTTCCTTTCACAAGTGCTGACCCAGTGAGGCCAATCGTGTGTGATCAGGAGCCCCTGAATGACTTGGTGGAAAGCAGAGTCCGAACCCCTGCCCAGGACACTTGGGAAAGCCTTGCTGGCCGGACGGAGGGGAAGGAGGCTCTCGGAGACTGCCCCAGAGGGGAGTGGCTCTCCACTGGCCACAGCGGGCTGGAAAACAGCGAGCCCCGGGAAAACACGAAGGTCCCAAAGCCGGGTAAAGTAGACACTGAGTTTATTATTTGCCAGACAAGGGGAGGCTTCCATTTCATTATGAAAGGTCAGGAGTGCTCTCTGAGCTGAAGGTGAACAGACAGCTGCGGTGTAGAAAACAGGAAGTTTTGTCCACAGTTCTGATTGGCGGAAAAAGCAAATTGTAAACCCTCTCAGGACCGCTGCTGTTCCGATTTGTGTCGCAGAAGCAGGAGTACAGTTCCTGCAAGACCCTGGCAGGTCTGGTCTGGGCTGCATGGCCCCGGGGGCTGCAATCTGAGCCTCTTCTCATGGGGGAGGGGTTTCTCTGGCCTCCACATAGGTTAAGAGGGAGGAGCCCCAGGGCCTTGCACCCATCAACCCCTCATCCTCGCTGCCTGTGACAGATGGACAAGCAGCTCTCCTGGCTGCAGAGACGAGATGACCACAGGAGAGCCGGCAGAGGATGCTGTTACCAGGGCGCTAGGACAGCCAGCACACAGAGAGACGGAGGCACGCAGCCTGAGTCCCAGTCAGCTGGAGGACATGTGGTTAAAATGCTGCTGAATGGGGAAAACATCCCGGGCCCAGGAGCTGAGGTCCCTGTCGGTGGGGCCGTGGGGAGGGTGTGACACAGGCCATGCCCAGGCTTGTGATTTCTGACCTCGCCCCAGTGCATTTATGGGTAAACTGAGGCTGGGAGGGACGCCTCTCCCTGTACAGGGAGGTGTCCGTGGTGAGGGGCTGTGCCCACCCACTGCCGAGAGAGTAGCACCTGTGCTTTTGTGAACAGCAATATAAATACAGTTCCCTTCAGATAAAACACAATAAATAGGTGGCGGCAATGGTGGGATGGCACCACACTGGCTCAGGCGGCCGGGCGCACTCTGCAGGAGTGGGGACACAAGCCGAGGTCCTGTTGTTTGAGGTAAAAATTTATAGAAACGGTTCCTTGACAGTGAAATCCCTGCTTGACATTCAGATGGGCGAGTGCTGGCAGGGGCTCTGGGCCTCCACCTGTAAGACCCGGACTGTCACTGGGGCTGTGGCTCAGAAGGACCCAGAGGTGGATGGACGTCCCTGCCCGAACTAGGGCTGCAGATGGCCCCACCTGCACCCTGCCTGATGCCCAGGCCTGGGCTGCCCTAGGCTCGGCCCACCTGGATGTCCACGGCCACTTGGGGGGAGGTGCTGGGGTCCCGCCCCGCCTGGCCACCCCAGTTGCTCCTGGACAGCCGCGGCCTCAGCGCGTCCTCAGCCGCAGGACCCTGGAGAGGGGCTCCTTGGCGCTGGAGTAGATGAGGTAGGCGCCGGCCGTGGTGCTGAAGGCCTCCCAGTCCCTGCAGCCGACGGTGGGGAGGCTGTGCACCGCCACGAAGCCCTCGTAGCCCTGCCACCTGCGGGACAGACAGCAGCAGCCAGGTCAGCCTGGGCTCTGCGGGGTGGCTCTTCTTCCCGGGCTCCCACCCGCGCTGTCGGGGACCCAGCAGCTCTGGGTCACATCCAGGCCTCTTCCATCCCCCACTGGCACGGCGTGGAGAGATTGATTCTGGGCCACGAGGAGAGAGAGATTGATTCTGGGCCATGAGGGCCTTCTCATCTTGCAAAGCAGGAGGCTGAGGCCCAGAAGATGAAAGATTCCAGATCTCACCAAGATCCCAGCGCTACCTCCTATCCACCCAAGATCCTGCCCCCAGGGACTCCCACACATGTAGTTCTGAGGGTCGGCCTCAATCGTGAGGTACGTGACTTTCCCCAGGGCCCCCTCAAACACACGCAGGCCACCGTGCAGGCGGGAGCCCCTCTGTCCTCAGACACAGGAGCCCAGCTCTCTGCCCGCTGCTCTCCAGCCCCACGTCAGGGGCTGCCCCAGGCCCTCATTCTCGCTCTGGGCAGCTGCTGGTCACCAGGGTTTGCCTTCAAAAGGACTCGTTTATCCCAGGGGCTTCCACTTCCGAGGCATGGAGTCCCCAAGGCAGGGCGCCGACATCAAAGGGCACGAGTTGTTTAAATTTAATTAAATATTAAATATCAAAGTATGAAAATAAATTCTTCCATACTGCTTTCTGGAGAAGCCGTGGTGGCTCCTGTTCTCATGGGAAAGAGCAGGGTGGGATCCCCCAGGATCCCCCACCCACTCCACTACCCATCTTTAAAATGCCTCCAAACAAATGGGGGAGAACCTGTCAGGGTTTTGCTTTGAGGACAAATCACTTACAATGTTTATTCTTCTAAAAATTCCTATTCATATCTTTTTTTTTTCTTTTTTTTTGAGACAGAGTCTCGCTGTGTCTCCCAGGCTGGAGTGCAGCGGAGCTATCTCGGCTCACTGCAAGCTCCGCCTCCCGGGTTCACACCATTCTCCTGCTTCAGCCTCCCCGAGTAGCTGGGACTACAGGCGCCCGCCACCATGCCCGGCTAATTTTTTGTATTTTTAGTAGAGACAGGGTTTCACTGTGTTAGCCAGGATGGTCTCGATCTCCTGACCTCATGATCCATCTGCCTTGACTTCCCAAAATGCTGGGATTACAGGTGTGAGCCACCACGCCCAGCCAATTCCTATTCATATTGTTTGTCCATTTTTCCAAATTTAAAAACACATCTCTTATTAGTTTGTAAGGTTCGTTTTCTGTCATATGTGTGGCAAAGAGTTTGTCTTTTGCTTTTGAATAGGATGTCTGTTTCCACAGAAAGCTTTTAATGCAGGTGGTCAGACCCAGTGCCTTTCCTTCCAGGCTTGTCTTCTTCATCCCTGAGGTTATGCAACTTCCCTTAGCTTTTCTTCTTTTTCACATTTGGACTTTTAATCCATTTAACATTTATTTTTATGTACAATGTGAAGTGGAGTAAGCTTTGTTTTCTTCCAGATTACATGAAGCTAATCTCCCAAATCATATGGAATTATCAAGTAAAGCCCATCCTTTTCTCATTGCTTTCAAATACAGTATTTATGGCCAGGTGGGGTGGCTCACACCTGTAATCTCAGCACTTTGGGAGGCTGAGACGGGCAGATCACTTGAGGTCAGGAGTTCGAGAACAGCCTGGCCAACATAGAGAAACCCCATCTCTACTAAAAATACAAAAATTAGCCAGGCATGGGCCAGGCGCAGTGGCTCACGCCTGTAATCCCAGCACTTTGGGAGGCTGAGACGGGCAGATCACAAGGTCAGGAGATTGAGACCATCTTGGCTAACACGGTGAAACCCCATCTCTACTAAAAATACAAAAATGTAGCTAGGCATGGTGGCAGGTGCCTGTAGTCCCAGCTACTCAGGAGGCTGAGGCAGGAGAATGGCGTGAACCCAGGAGGCGGAGTTGCAGTGAGCCAAGACTGCACCACTGCACTCCAGCCTGGGTGACAAAGCAAGACTCCATCTCAAAAAAAGAAAAAAAATTAGCCAGGCATGGTGGCCCATGCCTGTGGTCCCAGCTACTAGGGAGGCTGAGGTGCGACGATTGCTGGAGCCTGGGAATTTCAGCCTGCAATGAGCCGAGATTATGCCACTGAACTTCAGCCTGGGCCACAGAGTGAGACCCTGTTCCCCCCCAAAAAATAAATAAATAAAAAGGAGATATTATTAAAAAGTTACCAGGCCCAGATGGTTTTATAACCGAATTTAACCCAGCTGTCAGAAATGAGAGAAAAATCCTATTCTTCAGACTATCCCAGTCCACAGGTGCAGTCAGAAAGCCCCGCAGTGTCCACAGGTGCAATTAGAAAGCCCTGCAGTGTGTATTTACCGTTAGGCTTCATTTTAAACTGGATACAGCTAAGTCCCTGAAAGAAAACCACTGAGCAATCTCACTTCCTATTATAGATGCTAAAAGCTTAAAGACAGGCAATTGGAAGCCAGTGACTTATTAAATAATTCTGCATCATCACCAAGTGGCATCGGGTCTAAGAATGCGAGGAGATCTCTCACTATAAATCATGACATCAGCAGTAAATGTGGCGGACTGCATCACGCACTCACAGATGCCAAAGGAGACCCCAGCCCTGACCCGGATGGCCCACAGCCCATCGAACGGCCATGCTCCGATGTGCTCGTTAAATTAGAGTAAGGCAGGACAGCTGCCGCTTCTGCCGCCATCCAAAATTGTTCTGGAAGCTTTATCTAGGGAAGCAAGCTAAATAATCAATTAGAACACTAGAAATCAAGGGGAAATGTTCTTTATTCTCAGAGGTAATTATATTCCTAGGTCCCCTGAGAATCTTTTTAAGAGAAGCTATTAGAACTGATAGTTTGGTTTGGTGGCTAGACACAAAAAATGATTGTTATGAGCAGCTGCAAATGAAAATTAAAAAAAAAAAGCCAACCCCATTCGTTAAATGTACAATACTTGGAAAACTCCTAGAAATAAATGTGTTGAGAATACCACAGTGTCTATGAGCTAAAAATTAAATATCAACGACTCCCACGTTAGGATGTCCACACGCCGCATCCCTGCCGGGATCCAAAGGCAGAAGCGCCAGCACGCGTGGGTCGTGGCTACACCTGGAGCAGGGGCCGCTCAGACCCCACACAGGTGCAGCCAGCAACGGGCTGTCCACTGGGCCCAGCCAGTCTCGGGAAATGACACCTGACTTGGGACTCGCTGTGAGCCAATGGCACCTGCGAGAAGAGGTGAGCCCCCAAGGGGAAGCAAGGCGCTGGGGGGAAGCCGGCCTCAGTGAGCCCACAAGGGGAAGGAAGGCGCTGGGGGGAAGCCGGCCTCGGTGAGCCCACAAGGGGAAGCAAGGCGCTGGGGGGAAGCCGGCCTCGGCAGCTCATTACCTGTAAATAATACTGTTCACCGAGAAGCTGCGCCCATCAAAGGAGTTAGCGACGACCAGGAAGTAATCTTCTCCCACCGAGAAAAACTCCCAGTCCAGAGCGCTGCGGGAACAAGTGAGCGGATATTAGGACACAACAGACATCGCCGGAACTGGGGGGTTGGCCCGAAGCCACCTCCAAAATTCACGGAGGAGGAGCCGGGGCCAAGGTGGGGAATGACTTTCTCACAGTCACATATGTGTTGGTGTATTCCAGGAAAATGTAAATTAGTTGTTTGCTTAAAAAACATTTCAAATTTTATTTTATTTTATTTTATTATTTTATTTATTTTTGAGATGGAGCCTCACTCTGTCACCCAGGCTGGAGTGCAGTGGCGAGATCTCAGCTCACGGCAACCTCCACCTCCCAGATTCAAGCGATTCTCCTGCCTCAGCCTCCCCAGTAGCTGGGATTACAAGTGTGCGGCACCACACCTGGCTAAGTTTTGTATTTTTAGTAGAGATGGGGTTTCACCATGTTGGCCAGGCTGGTCTTGAACTCCTGACCTCAAGTCAGGCCCACCTCGGCCTCCCAAAGTGCTGGAATTACAGGTATGAGCCACCATGTCTAGCCTCAAGTTTTAAATTGTGGTAAAATATATATAACATAACATTTCCCACCTCAACCATCTTTAAGTGCACAGATCACAGGCATTAAGCACGTTCACATTGCTGTGTGGCTGCCAGCACCATCCACCTCCAGAACGCTTTCATCCTGCAAAACTGAGGCTCTGCACCCAGTAAACGTCGCCCCCCACCCCCTCCCCAGCCCCGGCACCCACCACGCCACTTTCTGTCTTTATGAATTTGACCACTCTAGGGACCTCATATAAATGGAATCACACGGTATTTGTCCTTTTGTGCCTTAGCTGAGACTCCAGTGACTCAAGGTTCATCCGTGTTGTAGTGCGTGTCAGAATCTCCTTCCTTTTTAAGGCCGAGTCTCCTTCCTTTTTCACTCCTCTGTGTGAATGCACACGTCGTGTTTATCCATGCGCTGACGGACACCTGCGGAATTTCCTCCATGTGGCTACTGTGAATAATGGTGCTATGCACACTGGGGTACAAAAGTACACTTTTAAGAGGTTGAATCAATCAGAGAAGAAGTCTCAGGCTCCTGGCACCTGCTGGAGGCAGGAGCTTGGTTTCCCACTCTGGACGCTGCGCAGAAATGGAATCACAGTGCCGTGGCCTCTGTGCCTGGCTTCTTCTCTCAGCACTGTGTCCTCAGCTGGGAGGTCAGCAGCCGTGAGGTCACTCCAGGAGGGGCCTGCAGGACCTGCTGGTTCACAGATATTCTCCTACAAGCGGAAGTTGTTTCTTGTTGCAAACAAATTTGCTGTGTCCTGTCTTAAACAGGAGTCTCGCCTGAATTTGCAAAGGGTGCATCTGTGCTTGGGGACAGCTCAGTTTGTGGGGTCCGATAAGCGGCTCCCCTGGAACCTTTCCCCACTGGGAACCCACCTGCTGAAGTGTCAGCGTTAGCCCCACATCTCGAGATGAGGAAATGGAGGTTGGAGCCATGCACACGCAAGCATCTTACGGACATGCAGGCCAGGCCGGTGCTTCTGGGTGCAGCAGCCTCAGGGCTGTGGCCAGTTCAGACAGCAGAGGGGCCTCATCCCAGTGCTTCCCTGCAGGCAGTTGAGGGGCCGGCCTGCAGCAGGAGCTCAGACAGGACCCTGGGAGAGGGAGGGATCATGCAGGTGTCCAGCGACAGGAAGGGCGGGCAGAGTCCATGGGGCCTTGGGCTCCTCACTCCTTTGGTCAGTCAGGGTGACATCTGGAGCCACCTCCATTAATGGCGGGTTATGATTTGGTTCCCATGGAGCCCGTGCCAGCTCGTCCTCCTCCCTCGTCGCTGGGAGGAGGACGAGGATGCCTGTGATCACATACTCTGGTCTGGAAGCACGGCCGCGGGCTCCGAGTCAGTGTGAATCCGCGGGGTTACTCCTCAATCGGATCTGAGCTCTAAAACCCAGACCCGAGGAAGACAAGCGGCCATGCTGGATGTACCAGTGGTGGAAGATCCTGTCTGGCTGCTCCAAGGCTCACATCAGAAGCCGGCTTCAGTTTCACCACAAAATAAGGCATCTAGTGACCAATTCTGCCTCCAAAGCAGCCCTGGGTCACACTCGCTGTAGGACAGATGTTATTCTTCAGAATCATGCCCTCTGGCAAATGCCCATCATCGGACAGATGGGCGGATGGAGCGTGACTCAGCCACGAGAAGGGGGACGCTCGGACCCACGCGGCCACACCACCAACCCGGAAGACACGGTGCTGCGAGAAAAAGCCAGGCACAGAGGCCACAGCTCTGCAATTCCATTTCTGTGCGTGTCCAGAACGGGAAATCACAGAGACAGGAAGTGAGCCCGGGGGTGCCCGGTGGGGAGGGAGGGGCTGGCAAAGGGTGTGGGGGCTCCTTCTGAGGGGAGGAGAATGTTCCAGAATTGACTGCAGCCATGGCTGCACATATTTGTGGATTTAACAGAACCACTGAATTGTAGAAAGGAAACACAGCAGACCGTTTGAAGGCAGTCAGAGCCAAGGTTACACACAGAAGCCGCGAAACCCCTCAGCACCCTGGAAAGGGTTTTGGACTCGGTGAGGCCACAGCACGTCTCCCAGAAGTGCAGGGAACTCCCCATTCTGAGTAGAAGGGCTAGGAGTGTGACTTTCGTGTGCTGTTTTGATGGTAATTATTAAACATTACCTCAATTAATTAATAAATACCTTCTGTGTTTCATAATTTAGTTCATAAACTGTCCACACCACTGTCCAGTGGTGACACGGCCGTAAGTCACAAGTGTGTAGCTGCGTCCCGTCAGCTCTCGCAGCTTTCAAATACTGAGGTGTCTGCCTCATCCGTTTCTAGACTGGCATCGTCTCCACAACTAATTTTTAATCCCAGTTCATTCTCCAACTTGTCTTATTCTAAACGCTGTTCTAAAAAGCCTCATCTATGTTTTGTTCTCGGCGTTGACATTGGATGGGGTGGATTCATGCTGGGGACACACAATTGCCGCAGCCGCCCAGTGCCTGTTTCTCCTGCCACGGCCGCCAGGCCACGCAGGGGTCACGCCGCTGCCGCTCAGTGCCTGTTTCTCCTGCCACGGCTGCCAGGCCACGCAGGGGCCACAGAACCCACTCACCCCAGAATCCCCAGTGCCCCCGGCAGGCACCGCTGCTGGCTCTTTTTCTTTATTCTGAGAGTTCTTTTTTTTTTTCAATTTTTAAAAATCAAATAAGTAAGATACAAGTAAGTTAACATTGTCGTCCTGTGTAAAATCAGCAGTTCAGAAGTAACAGTGCAAATAGGGAAACTCCTTCCTGGCCTGCCTGCACACCCCTGCAGCCCGCCTGGTCCTGGGGTGACTGCTGACGGTGAGGCACTCTCTTCCAGAGTCTTCTCTGCACTTCCATGGGTGCGCACAGCTAAGCAGCACACAGCAGCTGGGCTCGCTCCTCCGTACTCGGGTCATAAGATTTCGCTGCACCTCACCCAGCCCTTTCCACAGAGCAGTTCATCTTGGAGACTTTTCTCCTTGAAGGGTCTAAAGGTATGCGTTGTTGTGTCTCTCAAGCTGAGATTAGAGCCCAGTGCCCAGGAGGGGTAGGTGAATCGTTACCCAATGAAATAGGAGTCCATGAAACCTGAGGAAACCTGGAAAAGCCGCCAGCTCCATCCCAGGGTGGGCACGGGCCGGATTCCAGCTCCAAGCTTGACCCATGGCCCTTGGCTCTGGGATCTGAGTAATACAGATTCGATTGCAGGTTTATTCACAGATTTCTGAATCCCACCCCAGAGGAAGCCCCATGCTGGTCGGGACGGTTATGGATTCTCAGTGCCTGCTGTCCAAACTGTGGTGGCCACGCAACCTCCTGTGGCCCCGCAGAGCGTGTCAGTCTGGAACCATCACTTTCTACTTTCTTGTGCACACACACCCACCCTCCATGTTCCCTGGATCGCACGTCTGTCTCAACACGCCAGTCTCCGTGTCCTGGTGTTGTCCGGGAGGATGCAACATCAGGGAAAGGGAGTAATCGTGTCTGGTGGCAGCTGGCACCAGCAGGCTGTGGGCACTCGAAGCCTGCACCTCGCACCTGTCCCCGTGGGGCCTTGGCTGTCCCTCCACACGACGGGCAGGAAGCCCCCTCCTGCCTCCACTGCCCGGATGAAAGGAGGTGACGGGTGTGAAGGGGCAGAACTCTGCACACAGCGCCCGGCTCTGGGAACCAAACCTGTGGCTCAGGGCAGCACTGACTTCCCCAGGCCAGTCTTTCCGCAGGAAGGGTGGTGAGGATGAGCCTAACGGGGATTCCGACATGGTGGGCCTCCCAGAGGTCAGCCCACCCTCCCACCGGCCTGCGGTGACACATACCTGCAGGTGAGGATGTCCTGGAACTTGACAAAGGCCTGCGCGGTCACGTTCAGCTCGTAGATGACTGAGTTGATGACGTAGGAATCATTCTGGACTTGCATCTCCACATCGTAGCTGTGACTGTTCGCCACAGCGAGGAAGATCCTCTCCCCAATGTGGAAGACCTCCCAGTCCGCAGCACCGAATGTCTAGGACCAAAGGAGAGCAGGTGCAGAGGTGTGGGTGAGCGGTGCAGAGGTGTGGGTGAGCGGGCACAGAGGTGTGGGTGAGTGGGTGCAGATGTGTGGGAGAGTGGGTATAGAGGTGTGGGTGAGCAGTGCAGAGGTGTGGGTGAGCGGTGCAGAGGTGTGGGTGAGTGGGCACAGAGGTGTGGGTGAGTGGGTGCAGATGTGTGGGAGAGTGGGTATAGAGGTGTGGGTGAGCGGTGCAGAGGTGTGGGTGAGCAGGCACAGAGTTGTCGGTGAGTGGATGCAGATGTGTGGGTGAGCGGGTGCAGAGGTGTTGGTGAGCGGTGCAGAAGTGTAGGAGAGCGGGCGCAGAAGTGTGGGTGAGCAGGCGCAGAGTTGTGGGCAAGTGGGTGCAGAGGTGTGGGTGAGCTGTGCAGAGTTGTGGGTGAGTGGGCACAGAGGTGTGGGTGAGCAGGCGCAGAGTTGTAGGTGAGTGGGCGCAGAGGTGTGGGTGAGTGGGCACAGAGGTGTGGGTGAGTGGGCACAGAGGTGTGGGTGAGTGGGCGCAGAGGTGTGGGTGAGTGGGCACAGAGGTGTGGGTGAGCGGGCGCAGAGTTGTGGGTGAGCGGGTGCAGAGGTGTGGGTGAGCGGGCGCAGAGGTTGTGGGTGAGTGGGCACAGAGGTGTGGGTGAGCGGGCGCAGAGGTGTGGATGAGCAGCACTCTCCCTGGCTGTCCTCAGGCTGCCACTTGGCAGGACATGGGATCTTGGCACAGCCCAGTGCCTGCTGAGCTGCAGGTGCCAGATGCGGCACTCCTGCTGGCAGCCTCCTTGGCCACCACTCTCTTCCTGAATATTAGTGCCAGTTGTGCCCACCCCCACCCACCCACAGCAACCATCTGTGTGACTTGCTTCTCAGCAATCCATGCCTCCACCTACTCCAGGCCCCAGTGCTGTGTGTCCTATGAGCACCACCTGCTGTTTCACCTCTTCCAGGAAGCCCACCCTGATCCCTCTAGTCCTAGCCTCAGACACTGAAGTAACTCTCGAGTTTTCTCTTACACGCTCTCCCTGGCCTTGCAGTTTGGCCGAGGCTTCCCTCTGGCTCTGTAGACAGAAGCCATCTCTGGGTTCCTGTGCTTGCCATTCCTCCACAAATCACTTACCACCCTCAAGAGGCAACAGGTCTGGGGCTGCACATGGAGGCCCAACTGCAGGCACCTCTGCCACCGTCCTTGAGCTGCAGGAGCCTGTCTGCACGTGGGGCCCGCAAGGCGGAAGCTTATGCCAGCACACTGGGGATAAAGGTGGCGGGGCTGCACGGGGAACGGGCGGCTGCTTCCCTGGGGACAGTGTCCCCCCAGGCCGGGCATCCCTGCACACGGTCCCAGGCAGTCATGGCTGAGGACAGAGCTGGTCTTGCTGCGGGGCTGCGTCTCTTCCTGACTCACCCCCGTCCAGAGAGCCTTCTGCCTGAGGGACATCGTGCGCCACCTGGGCCAGGTGCGAGGCAGCTCTAAGAGCCTCCCGTGACAGTAACCACTGGGACGTTTTCTATTTGCCCAAATCAACTGGCAAGGGCCCGGCTCAGACGCTCCCGGGTCTGATGCGACCTGCCCTCCGCAGTAGGTCAGGCACCCTCCCTTGTTTGTATGTTCAGGACAGGGCTGCCCAGGCGCCTTCCGGTCCCCCTGACTGTCCGGCGCCTGCCCGGCCGGCTCAGGTGCTGCAGGAAAGAGAAAACTCTGGGCCCAACGTCAACGTGCGTTCTCCACGCCCAGCAGGGGGCGCCGTTGCCCGCCCGACCCCGGAGAGCCTGGGCTGCAGGGGAGGGCGCGGTGCCGGAGGACGCGGTGCTGCAGAGGAGGGTGCGGTGCTGCAGGGGAGGGCGCGGTGCTGCAGAGGGGGGTGCGGTGCTGCAGGGGAGGGCGCCACAGGTGAGGACGCAGCTCCGTGGGCACCAGGCAAGGTCCCAAGGCCGATCCACAGCCGGTCAGAGGAGCGCACATGGGTGAGCTTAAGCTAAGAGACCAAGACTCACCAGGCAAGGACATGGGACTAGGACACCTGGCAGCGCTGAACCCCGGGGGGTGGGGGCGCGGGGCCAGGGTCTGCCTGAGGCTTTCCTGGGTCAGCGCGCCCTCCCCTCCTGCGGCTCCACGAGATGTGACTATTCTATCTGCTGGAGAACAGCTGTCCAAGGCCACCCCATGTCCTTCAAGGGGACTCTGAGACACTCTGGGCCGGTGGGACCTTCTGCGTCATCTGGACTTTGCCTCACAGGTGGGCGGGTGGGAGTGTTACACACAGGCCAGTTCTCTGACTTAGCAGAAGGGAAACAGTAATCAGAATGTTAAACCCTGGGCTCCTCCCACACCTGTGCTGAGGAAACCAACTGAGTGGGCAATCCTCATGTGTGTACTCATCTATACGCATGTCTGCACACACCTGCACGCACACACACACGCACACACCGGCACACACAGGCCCATACCTGCACACCTGCATGTACACATACATACACACAAACATGGATATGCACTGTGTATGCACATACACAGGCACACACACAGGCACATATGCTTACATTTTTACATGCACGCCCGTGCACATGTGGATACACATGCAGATACACAGGCCTGCTCATGTATACACATATACACATACACACATGTATATACACACGCAACCATGCACATGCATGTGTGTACATGTGTACAGTATGTGTGCACATGTGCATATGTGTATACTTGCACACGTGCCTGTACATAGGCATATCCCTGCAGGCACATACATGCACCCGCCCGCATGTCCTCATCTACACACACGTGCACCCGCCCGCATGTCCTCATCTACACACACGTGCACCCGCCCGCATGTCCTCATCTACACACACGTGCACCCCCCGCTTCCATCTACACACACGTGCACCCGCCCGCCTGTCCTCATCTACACACACGTGCACCCGCCCGCCTGTCCTCATCTACACACACGTGCACCCGCCCGCCTGTCCTCATCTACACACACGTGCACCCGCCCGCCTGTCCCATCTCCACACTCACCCCCCCCCTATCTCACACACGTGCACCCGCCCGCCTGTCCTCATCTCACACACGTGCACCCGCCCGCCTGTCCTCATCTGCACACACTGCACCCCCCCCTTCCTCATCTCACACACGTGCACCCGCCCGCATGTCCTCATCTACACACACGTGCACCCGCCCGCCTGTCCTCATCTGCACACACGTGCACCCGCCCGCCTGTCCTCATCTGCACACACGTGCACCCGCCCGCCTGTCCTCATCTACACACACGTGCACCCGCCCGCCTGTCCTCATCTGCACACACGTGCACCCGCCCGCCTGTCCTCATCTGCACACACGTGCACCCGCCCGCCTGTCCTCATCTGCACACACGTGCACCCGCCCGCCTGTCCTCATCTGCACACACGTGCACCCGCCCGCCTGTCCTCATCTGCACACACGTGCACCCGCCCGCCTGTCCTCATCTGCACACACGTGCACCCGCCCGCCTGTCCTCATCTGCACACACGTGCACCCGCCCGCCTGTCCTCATCTGCACACACGTGCACCCGCCCGCCTGTCCTCATCTGCACACACGTGCACCCGCCCGCCTGTCCTCATCTGCACACACGTGCACCCGCCCCCTGTCCTCATCTGCACACACGTGCACCCGCCCGCCTGTCCTCATCTGCACACACGTGCACCCGCCCGCCTGTCCTCATCTGCACACACGTGCACCCGCCCGCCTGTCCCATCTGCACCACGTCACGCCCGCATGTCCTCATCTACACACACGTGCACCCGCCCGCATGTCCTCATCTGCACACACGTGCACCCGCCCGCATGTCCTCATCTGCACACACGTGCACCCGCACGGCACAGCTCTCCCCACATTGCTGGGGAAGGCTGAAGAGACATGCTTCCAGCCCTGGGCGTCCTTCCGGTGGAGCCCCCCCCACTTCTCAGCTACTTGCTGATGCTCACCTGTGTTGAGGCAGATCCTGATGGACTGCTGGGGCCAGAAGAGCCTGAAACTCCCTCTCAGGGAAAGCCCCGGAGGGCCTGCCCTGTAGCAGCCCAGGGTGCGGGAAGACCCCGAGCTGGCTCTCTGCGCACTGTATAGAGAGAACTTACTGCAAGCTGGGGCTGAGCCGGGCATTGCATCTCAGGGATGAGTCACGTGCCCTCCCTGCCCAAAGGAGCCCTGGAACAGGGGCTGCTGCAGATGGGGAACCATGGAGGGGCTGCCTGGGGCCTTGGGGGCACAGAGGACGAGGGCCCAAAGGCATGGAGGAAGGACGGGGAGTTGGCGGCAGGAAGCAGGGAAGGGTATTCAGGCAGAAGGAACTGCAGGACAGACACAGGACTGAGGGAGCCAGGAGGGCTGGGTGCACACAGAGTGCGGAGCAGGGGCTGGGGCAGGCCTACAGGGCCTAGGTGCTGTGGAAAGCAGTCGGGCCCCCAGCCAAAGGTCACTGGGGAGCCAGAGGCGGCTTTTGAGCAGAGCGAGGAGGTCAGATGTATGTGGACAGCTCTGAGACCCACAGGAGGTAGGAAGGTGTCAGGACAGAGGTGAGCCAAGTGCTGTGGGGGGGGGGTGGGGTGGGTCCCACTCCCAAGAGGGGAAAGAAGGGTGGGGTCCTTGGAGACAGGGGCTTCTGGAGACCCCTCAGAGAACTCGGTACATCCCTAGGGATGGAGACAGGGGCTCCGGGAGACCCGTCAGAGGACTCGGTACATCCCTAGGGATGGGTGGCACACGGGCTGCTGTGTGAGCCCTGGGGAGGGGCAGGTGGCAGGAGCGTGGGGTGGAGGTGGCAGTGCTCTGGCCACAGCCCCGAGGCTGGTGGAGACTCGGTTGGGAATGCCCAAGACGGGCAGTCTGATCTGGTGGGACCTGCAGCACTGCAGCCTCCAGGGCAGGGACTGTGCCCACGTTTCATGGGGTGGTAGGGAGCAAACCTTGAGTTGAATCTTGGTTGGAGCCCAAGGTGGGGTG